CGAGCCCCTCATGCAGACGATGTCCCCCCCACTCCACACCCATTCATCCCATCGTCCAAAATGTACTGCGTGTTTTGCTGTGAGTCAGACACAGTGCTACACTGCCAGGGACCCCTCTGGGACCAAGGCAGATGCAGCCTATCCCCTGTGAGGTTTACAAGGTCAACGGCCCCAGCATTTGGCCAGTTGTCCCATGCGATCCCATTCTGCAGGCTTCCCAGTGCTGACAGCGGTTTCTTTTCAGACGCTGCCATTTGTCGCAAGGCTGAACTCTTCCATGGGTCCCGGACGGACTGTCGTCATCAAAGGAGAAGTGAACACAAACGCCAAAGGGTGGGTATCACGGAATTGCCAGAAGTAGTGTGTGCGCATGAACACTCTCCACGTTGTGTCTTTTTGCCTTGTGTCCCGTGACAGTCTTGTGACATACAAGTAGGGCTAGTGTCCTAATCCTCATTTGAAAGGTAGGAACGTTAAAGTAGGAGGAGGTCAGACTGCTGAATAGTTGGTGGCAGGACCAGGACTAAATTCTAATGTTCTGAACTAGGCTTTTGTGGTCAGACCAGAGGGTGGTATCTTTGTCCACGGGGCCCACCCTTGCCTTGCAAAGCTCCAGAGCAGCCCTGTGAGATCACATCACTTCTGTTAGGGCTCATCTTGTCACGTGACTTATAAAACATCTGTTTTAAGAACCTTCTCCAGATGCCGACTTCTGAAAGCTTGAAATTAGAGCTAGGAAGCGGCACACTTCCAGGAAGGACCAGACATAGGACCCATACTCCTGGCAGCCTGAGGAAATCACTCAATTTACTTCTAACGCTTCAATTTCTCCCCAGCCAGATCTGTACCCTCAACATCGATTTAAAATCTTTTTTTAAATTTTGCAAATAACATACTTCTATCAATGGAATGCTAACTTAGAATTTAAAATTTCACCCTCGCCGGAGTTCCTGTAGCTCTGCGCATATGTTCTTGGTTTGGGGTAGTTGTACTCAGAGTTTGGTTCTGATTGTTAGAACTGCAGAAACTGTTCTACTTGGTTTTTTTTTTTTCTTTCAAAGCTTTAATGTCGATCTACTCTCAGGAAAATCGAAGGATATTGCCCTCCACCTGAACCCACGCCTGAACGTTAAAGCATTTGTGAGAAATTCTTTTCTTCAGGAGGCCTGGGGAGAAGAAGAGAGAAATATTACCTGTTTCCCATTTAGTCCTGGGATGTATTTTGAGGTAAGATTATATTTTTTGAAGGTGGGACAGGAAGGGTTGCATAAACGACCCATGTAAATCAAGTCCTACTGTGGAGATTTTGTGTGGTTTTATTTTGAAGTTTTAATTTGAATGGCTCCTTGTGTAATGCAGATGATCAGTACAGTCAGTACGAATGGCCGAGCCAGGAGGGTACCACAGCAGGTGCACTGGAATTATCTGACATTCGCTGTCATACTGAAAACTGTGTTGCCCCATCTTAATGGGAATTTTACCAAGAACCTTGTCTCAGTCCTGGGGTGGTATGTTTCTCAGTGAACATACACCTGCCTGCACTATCATCTCCCATGTTGGCTGTACACAGCTTTCAGTGGGAGGCCTTTCATCCAAGGAGTTAGTCCTGTTTGTATATATTCAAGGGCAGAAATGTCCACGCCATTGGAACTGGAAGGCAGGTGGTCCTGTGTCCCCAGATCCATGAGTATGATAACGCAACCTCTCCCAAGATGGATTTGGTGAAGCAGGATAAAGTCTGCTTGGCATGTGGATGCTGCTGGTTGGCTGGGCTCCAACATTAGCTTAGGTGACTCACTGCCTCACATGGTCACTTTAGGGTCACTGACTTAGGTCATATGGCTGCAACATTTTAGACTGTCTTATGCTCTGGACCAAGCATGACCATTAAGACTGAACAGGAGATGGCAGTTTGACATTAATATTTATTCCCGAGTCCCGGTCTAATGCAGTGCCCAGCATGTGGAGAAACGTGTGAGATGACCACGGAAGTGGTGGACATTGGCTTGGAATTGAGAAGGCTGTGGAAGGCTGATGGTCAAGTTGGGTTTTCTAGATTAGGGGATGATGTGAACAAGTAACTGGAGGCCTTGCAAGCGCTCGCTTACGTGACGGGAGTCAGGGTGTAAAGGGAGCCTTGGGGTTCTCTGGAGAGACGGAGGTGGGTGC